ATAAAGTCTAAGCTTTCGCGATAGTCTTGGTACTGTTCCCCAATCAGAGGGCCAACTGGAGTAGTTCGCCCATGTGTTGTGCTGCTGCGTTTGAGCCACTGCTGAAAACATGTCCATGAGGCTTCGATGTCATTTCGTACCGTAAATACAGAGGCAACAAGCCTGATCGAGTTTCACTTATCGACACAGTTGGCCTAAGGGGGTGACCTCGCTACTGCTACCTACGTCTAAAATACAGAGTAGTGCAGCGGCTTCGACTGCGTTTTGGACGAAGTCATATCAAGTGATCAAAAGAACCGCATGTAACTCATCAGAACTCCATCAGGAAGATCATGCACATCCGCCTGTTGCAACGTCCCGTTCTCTGCTCTATGCAACAGTAGCGGAAAAAAGCCAGATTGCTTGCTACTGACGTATGTTGTGTGCGGCTCCTGTTAACCGTTTTCGCGACAAAATGATACTCTCATTTCTTTGCCTCGTCAAGGTCATGTACTGAAGCCTGTTTTGTCGCATTTCTTTCGTGGAAAAGACTTTAAGTCCCTGTCATAACCCAGGCTGCTTAGTGTTTCTCTTGCAAGCGTCTTGTTTTGGGTGGGTATCGAGCAGTTCCGAGTCCTGGAAACAATCTTGGTGCCTGATTTTCATCCGGAGCAACTGATTGAATCCTTCAACTTTTCCACATCAAACGGGTTTTCCCCTCTTTACGCAATGTGTTCCAACTGTTACCTCAAGGCATATCAGTCATCTAGTCTACGTCTACCGTATTTTGTTTGCCACAGGAGAAACTCATGTGCCAGAGTAAATGGTTTATGCTCCATCAGTTAGTATAATATAACAACGACAACCGCCTTTGCCTAATCTTAACATCTATGACGGACACGTGTCCGGAATAAGGTAAAGTCAATTCTTGAGTGGTCCTTTTATTCAACCCTCATTATGTGTTGAAACTAACCCTGCTGCAAGCAATTGAACTATCTTTCCACCCTCAGATAATGCACCTTCTACCGTACTGCTCACCAGGACAACATCATTTGCGTATTCAAGATCAACACGACACCAAACGGGATATCTTCAACTGCGTATTCTCCTTAGAAAACGACGTTGAATAGCAAAGGCGACAGCCCAGTTAGAAGTAGACGTCATGTTCAACACAGATATAGACCTAACTTGAGTTTTCGCCAAATTCTAATCTACCTCTGTGTTACAAATATGGACTCCGCCATGGCCGGTCCCAAGCCCGGATGAGAAAGGAGGAGGGTTGGAGACCGTGGCAAGTCTCCGT